GTTTTGCGCCTGGATTGTTGTGTACTTAGTGTTAATTATTTTTCAGTTATTAAGTATCCAAATGTCAATTCAACAATTTCCTTATAGATTTTTAGAAAATTTCGTTTTGTCGATTCAAAGATATGCATAAAGGCAGCGTTTTGCGCTGACGTAGTTTTTTGCCTTTTTTGACTATCACTCAATCTACAGTAAGACTTCAAATGAGGAATCGGTATGTAGCGTTTCAGGTCAAAACCTTTATGAATAGTTTTGATCGCAACTACTCGGATCTGAGCAGATATCATTTCCGTCAAAGCAGTCACCGTTACCTGATCAAACGCTGCACTGCACCTTAGCTTTATCAAAATTTTTTGCAAAAATTTAGAAAGAGTTTCTATATGATGTCATATTGACCTTTCACTAGAATGAATCATAAAAAGCGAAGTTCTTAGTTGGGACAAACGCGTGAATGAATTTACGATTGCAATGGATAGGGTGAGGCAGTCAAACATCAGTCACTTACGTCATTTCTTCAGTTGAACGTAAACTCAAATTAATTTGTAAATAATTTCTGATTATTTATAATACATTGTAGCTTTCTGTGACTAATCGTAAGAATGTTGTCCACAAAATGTTGTTATGAATACTCCACCTGCCCCAAAAACAGATAACTCTCCATCAAGCTTAATTGTTAGATACCATCGTCAGAAGAACAAACTGCATTGTTTACCCAAGCAATCTTTGCACCTTTTTATATGTGTGACTTGTTTCCTTTATGGAATGCATGATCGTAAATTTTAACAAGGATCACATAACAACAACTGCTGTTTTACTACGCTTATTGTAGTTTTAGTAGCTCTGAGAATCTGCATAAACAACAACATAACTCTCACGCAGGAATTAATCTGACTTACATATTTGTCCTTCCCAATGTGAGAAATTGACAAGAGGCAGAGGATAAAGGCTGCCTAAAAGCACGGGTCGGTGCAGGTGGATAGGCAAGCTGGACATCCTTTTTGGAATAAAAAGCAAAGGGAATATTAGGCCGGGCCTTTGTGGCCGAAAAAAACACAACTAGGTTACGTTTTTTTACACGACGTTTCGTTTTTCTGGGGGTTTCTACATTTATGGTTTAAAGTCGAAAGGGACTTCGTAAAATTTTAGGGAGGTTAAGGGGGACATCGTTTTTGCATTTTCGGAGAGTCACCTCGTGCCAAGCCCTGGCTAATAGGTGAGGATTGAAGACATTGACATTAAAACCTTAACAGATGGTATTTCAAACGAATGGATGAATAAATCAATAAAAAACGTATACTCAGGAATTCTGCCTGCGACTCATAGATTACTGATCCAAAGATTTTATTTATTTCATGCACTGCTGGGATATCAAGCAACCAAGTTTTCGAATGCTATGGTCAAAAAGTTTCCTGTGTAATCGAAAAAGGACGCTCCTGGGTATGCGTAACCGATTTTCAAATGGTTTGACTAAGCAATCAATATTAAATTAGCCATCCAAACCTTGGCAAACTTTAGAATATTTCTTGATTGTGATCCGCCCTGACTATAACGTACTTAGCTTATAATCGGAGCGGTTTGACTACTGAGAGAAAACTGAACTGTGCAAAAACCAAACTGGAGCTATTTTCTTCTTCTGCTAAAATTTTTCGAAAAAGCGAAGTTGTCCATATGAAATTTTCTCTCGGACAAGTGATGAATACATGCATAAAATTTATTCGAGTAAAGGGCCGGGCATACTTCACGCGATTTCAGTCTCGACGCGATTTGGCAGTATTCCAACTGTCCATAGCTCATAGTAAGCACAGTTAAATCTACAGAAGATAGGGTGGTTTAGCAATCCACTCAAGTTATACACACTATACATGCGCAGTTTGCTGTTGTTGGATCTGAAGACTTCTGGCGAATTACCAAATCGCGTCGCGACTGAAATCGCGTAAAGTATGCCCGGCCCTCAAAAAGAAGATCGACTACGACTACTCGCCCATAAATATCACTGTGAGTATCAGTCAGTACAGGGTGCGGAAAAAGTACTGTCCCTCAGTTTGCCTTTCAAAAAATCTCATAGACGGAGAAAACCTATAGTTTTTTGATTCTCACATGTAGGCGAGACCTTGTAGATTAGGCTAAGGTAAGCTTCATTTGGAACGGTTTTCTTCTGTCCATTTAAACGAGTGATAACTGCGAGCGGCATCATCGACGATGCGCCGACAGCATACAAGAGCGATTTTGGACCGTAACTATACCACCAGCATTGATATCTGGTTCCAGTTAAGCTGGTATGTAAAGCATAACCTCTTCTCCAATATTCTATACCCACTATAGTTAATTATGGACTGGTAATGTCCTGTTTTGGCCAAATAAGAAAGCTTGTATCACACGCAAATCCCAGAATTTCTCGAAAAGAGACCAGTCAGGCCTGCTCTTCCTCAATGAATTGGATCCAAATTATGAATTGAAATTTCAGATTCCGACAAAAAGTAACAGAAATAATGAAAAGAGCTCCAAGCTTTGTCCGCATAACAATTTTGAGTCAATAAATGATTGTACTTAGTTTCTGTGCCATGTTTTCTGATCGCATCCTGTTGCGCCGCAGACGCAATTTTCTTAAAAAATTTCCCTGCTTTTCTCCCACTCAGCTGCGGTCTGGCTACTTCAAGCATATTTCGAAGACACTACAACATTCCTTAAGCAATAGGAGATTTCTCAAATCCGCGTTAAAAACAAAAGGATTTTTTTGTAAAAGGGAGTTGCAAGATCTGATATGGGAAGCGCCGCGAAAAGGGATCCGCCTTCGGGTAAATTTGCAGGATTTTGAAGCCGGTTTCTGTAAAATGCTGGAAAACATCCACATTTTAGTTTTTATGTCAATTTTACCAAAACCTGGATGTCACGCCGATTTTTTACCTTTATTTTGAGGGACAGTACTTTTTCCGCACCCTGTATATTTAGCTCCACTAACCTCTGCACTTCTTCGAGATTCTAAAGGAAGTCATCTAATACTTCACTTTTATAACTCACCCATGGGTTACTTAAGGTCCCATAAAATGTTTGTAGAAGTAATCTTCTTCCTTAATGGTCAGATTAGTTCAAACATAGTTCTCTTTTAGATCTCATCCAGTTGATTTTATGCTCTATGATTGCAAATAAAGAAGTCACCAAGGTTCTAATTGTCTATTGCCTGATGATATGTTGCAAAGTAGAACTTTGATCCACCAACACATCGCGATGCATTCGATATTTTATAGCACAATATAAATGCGCATAATCTTTCCTGCGAATTTTAAACCTAACTTGACTATAGTTATTCATTTCATTATCATGTACCGTTGATACGCTTATATCCGTACTAAGAAGCTGATATTGATCGGATAGGTCACATAAATCTTTGGTTGCAGTCTTAAAGTCCTATGCATTCTTAAGAGGTGTACAAAATCCAGAAAAATCTATAAGAATGATTTACACGGTTGCAAGTAGGGAAAAACCGTAGCATATTTGTTTGAATTTTAACATATGAGTTCGCTTAGTCGCAAGTTTATTGCACGAAGTCTTGCTAATAACTGGGTATCTGCAAGTTATGTACACAAGCTAAAGTAGCCATGATCACGTCCCCTTCGAAAAACTTAGCGGTTTTAGGCTAATTCGGAAAAAACAGTGCAACATTGCCTATAATGAGTGGAGTTTTATGTCTCTTAATCAGCGCATAACCCATTTTCGGCATCGGATTTTCTGATTCATCTCTCCGCATCTCGCCAATAGTTCTTTTGCACAGTTTTATTTGTGTGACTATAATCATGAAATACTGATCTATCAATATGGATTGTGCCTAATCCTATAATCCTCAATTTCGTATCCGGGAACGTGAATAGTCCCAACATTTGTAGAAATTCCTCAGCCTTTATATGTGCTGTGTTTTTGATATTGACAAAAAAAAATGGCGAATCTATGTGGGAAAGTATTATTGAGGTAAAAATATGACATTGTTAATGCGCTTATAGCATTTTCATACAATGCCAATGCTAATCGCAAAGTGATGTTTTGAAGATTTGACATGTTTGTAGAGAAATGACACATCAAAATACCAATTTCTTCTCATTCCTTGTACCATATCAATCAAAGGCATGATCGGAATTCAAATTTGTTTGAATTATAAGATCATAAGTGCAATTAACGAATTCAGAATTGTACTCTTCATGTGAAAGCTTCGAGATGTTGTAACATGCGTCATAGATCGTACACATGTCCGAAACATTTAGTAATTAAATTAATCAATTACTTATATAGTGAGGAAGGTTCGTAAAACATCCGATAGGATAGGTCTGTCCCTGTCCTGGCTCAGCTTCCCTTGCATTAGTCATGGCTATGTTTGATAGATCAAATGCGCCTTATTCCAGACTTTATCTTTTTTGATTTTTTCCTGGACGATTTCGGGACTTCGTTATATCCAATATACCCATAAACTTAGATTTTCTCCACAAGTTGAAGATTCAAATTGAAAAAAAAAGATTGGATGTCAAAGTGAAGATAGTCTCTCCTCACTAGAGTAAATTATCTAATTTTTGATCCTATTATTTCGTTTTAGAATGTTAACGAAAGAAACGCAAAAAATTTCAAGCTAAGGTACAGGTTCAAAAAGCCTTAAATTTACACACAGGAAATAATGTTCGTGTCTCAAAAATTTATTTTCGAAAATAATTAGCTTTCTTTCCATCCCTCTGACGTAAATTTCCGTTACCACTGTGCTAGTGAGGATCCTTATCTTGATTCAGAATTTTCAAATGCAAACTTTCTAAAGCTAAGCTATAACTTCCTGAATCCTTTCCCGCTCTCTCTTTTCCCCCCGAAAAACTGCCCGGTCAAGGCCAATTGTGCGTGCGTTTGTTTCTTGTTCCTTTTCCGTGATTTCTTTTCACTCAAATGTCACATTGCGTCCGTCAGTATAATTTATGTCCACAATTTATCCGTTAGAGTTTCGGTGCAACCCGTACTTGTCATTAAATTATAGGCGGTGCTTCCACTTTTATATAAAGGACTGCGACTACCGAATACAGTCAGCTGTGTGTGGCACACAGCATCAGCATTGTGAAGGGAGAACTAAAAACCAGTTTTTATTCTCGACTATCAACTCTGTCAAAGACCATTCGCTAATGTCTATCGTATTCGATAATATTAAGAGCATCTCGACGAGGATATTTAGAATCAGTAAGTTATCATTTTTGTTGCTATTTTTTGTTCAAAGCATTGGCCTCAATAATTTTTTCTCATCATCAGCAAATCAAGCGTGTAATCAAATTAAGTCATTTGCATGGTCTCGAAAAATAATCTGATATGTTTAAGCCAGTCACATGAGTGAAATGTCATCGTTTAGAAGACGAAGATTATCATCCACGAGATGAAGAGGAGTTAGATGCGCGCAGGATCGCGGAAAGATCCCGCATCAAGGAGCGATCCCGGGCGGAAGCCGCGAAAATCCGATCCGGGGTAGAGAGAGACGTTCACGATCGCAAAAATAAACACACAAAGAAGCATAGTGGACACGAACACCTTCATTATGTACGTTTTTATTTGACTTTTCCTCTGCCAAGTGTTCGGAAATTTTTTCCAGTATGCATTTTTGCAGGAAAAGAAAGCCAACCCCAGCTACAGCTCTCTAGAACACGTTGGCCCACCTTCGGTTTTTCACCGATCATCACCCGTCTGTCGCAAACTTCGGGTCAACCCGAAAAAGCATGTGATGTAAATTTATTGTAATAATACTGGGAGTTGATTCTCCACCAACTTTGTGCCGTACACCAACCTCGTTACGGTGACGACTCGTTCAGTCAAACTGACCAAATTCCACTACTATTACTGCAGAAGAATGTAGAATGTTATGTCTGTTCAGTGCTTTGTTTTTCTGCCCTATTCTCCTACGCTTGCAATCGTTTTAATATCGTGCAACCTTTGCAAAAGGTTTCACTATTCTACTTGATGTTTGAGTCTGCCCTTAGTGCTGTACATAGGATCCCCAAGACGTTTGTAGAATTTCATAAGATACTTTACATTGTAACTGTAATAAGCTTGTTGTTTATTCGTTGTATATCTGTGTCATAATGCTAATTTTGTTCTTGTTGTATATCTAATAAACGTGTAATTATTGTCTATGTTTACCACAAAATCAAAAGACGAATTTTTCAGTGATTTCAGAAAAGTTTGTAAAGAATTAAAAAATCGCCAATTGATGCTTTTGAGAGACCTACAGTAAGGATTACCACTATGATAAATGTTTGTCATATAATGTGCAAGGCATTTATTACAGATGCGTCGGTGAACTAGTGATGAGTGACATCTTGATAAATGATAAGGGCAAATCCAAACAGCGACAGGCAGTGAAAAGTATTATTTATTTCTTTTTGGGGATTATCTAATGTAATTTCAAATTTAATTTCAAAAGTAGGAGTTCCACAAGGTACCTCGAATAAATTCGTTGATTATCCCAAAATAAAATCCTGTTCAAACTTTTTTATATGGATGATTTACTAATTATACATAACCAGCCGCTCTCTATCGCTACGCGGCAGGTTCGGCTGGCACGGCAGCTTCGCTTCACGTGAATCTTTCGTGCTACTCTTAATTTTTTTTGCAGAAAATTTGCCATTTTGCACGGATTACTTCGAGTTATTACCAGAAAGAAGAACCGAGGACATAATTTCGGCTTTGTCAGTCTATTTTCGATTTAACATTCTAAGCAACGGATATTACGCGAATTGCGAAAATTCAATAAATTGATATGTTCGATCAGCATAGTTGAACAAAACGGCTCATTAACACACACCCTATCTCATGCGTTTTGTTTGGCAAATTTGGTTTAGATTCCATAACTCTTATCGTTTTCAAACAAAGATTAAAAAAAATGCGCAAAAAGTGCAAAAATCCAAAAATCGATAGTAGCAAACCGTGTGTAGCGAACAAAATGGCTTACTAACAACGGCGCATCCCATGCATCACGCCTGCCAAATTTGGTTTAGATTCCATGATCCCATTTTTTAGATTTATTTTGAACGAACATAATAAAGGGGCGAAGCAAATATTGTATAAGTAATGATTGACTGTTATTGAATTGGTAGCCTTGTTTGATCTTGTGAATGAAATACCATTCTCTATCTAAACCCGTTGCGAAATGTTGTCACAGTTAGATATCACCTAGGCTCCAGAAAATGACATACATCAGAAAATGTGAAAAAGTTATAGATTGAAGTTAAAGATATTCTATATGAATTAACCGTGCTCAGATATCGCTTCCTTCCAGTTATTTAGCTTTACAGAGCTAAAACACGAAAAAATCAATAAGTCGATGGATCCTATTACGGTGAAAAAGCTTAGTGACAGCCGCCCCACCAATAAGTTCGTGTGTGCAAAGTTTTGTTTGAATTCAGTGAGGTTTTCTAACGTTTCAGGCCGGTCATAACGAAATCGCTAAGCGAAAAACGCAAAAAATCGATAAAGCGATAGCGCCATCGGGTGATTTTCGGTGAAAAAGTTTAGTGACACACGTCTCACACCGTAGTTCATGTGTGCAAAGTTTCATCCAAATTCCTTGATTCTTTGTGCCATTTCAGGTCATAAAAAAGTATCTATCTTATCCAAATATTATATAGGTATCGATTTAGAAGAAAAATGTGTAAATAAATGGTACCGGCAACATTTAGAGAAAAAATGCACATCACGGTGAATATGTGGCTTCCTTGATTTAGAAATAAATCATAAATGATAGAATTATCACGCAAAACTATAACAAAACAGATTTCTTTACGTTAGAAGTCAATAAATTCACACATGCGTCTTCACATATAAGCATTGATTTTGAAACTTCCACCATATACAGTGAGATTCTGAAAACTATAGAACCTATACTTAATTTGAAAATTTTCTACAGAGATTATTAGTGCTTTGTGACAAGTCAAAAATTTAGACTACACAATGTAATTACCAATGCTTTTATCAAATGCTTCACCTTCAACGGATGTATTGCATACAAATATATAGAACGTCAGTAAGCAAAGTTAGTCTGAGATTAGTGCTCCATGTAACATTACCGTGCTGAAGGTCACGGGTTCGATTCCACAGTGAGCCTAATTTCTGAGGCAAAAATTCTGCTCACAATTCCAGCGTCAGGCTGTCCTTCCAAGAAGGGCATGCGACAAGCCGGCTGAGAAAAATCTCGTCGCATCAACAGTGCAGACATGTCTCATAAAGTATCTCGAGTAAAGGCTAGGGCGTCCCCCGGAAGCGACGCGCATTCGAGCCCGACGAATGCGAATAGTGGGCGAAAGTTACCATCTCAGCAAGGTGAACGGGACGGCTAAAGCAGCTAGTTCATCAGAGGCAACGATCCAAGGCATCGCAGACTCTCGTCTAGCTACCGTCAATTTGGGTACAGTCACCTCTCGTTCTCGAAAGTTGGCAGAACTTCTGAAGAGACGGCGAGTCGATGTAGGCCTGCCTACAAGAAACGAAATGGAGCGGAGCAAAGTCACGCGACATCGGAGATAAGTATTAGGTTGTCTCATAAGTTTTTTTCAATTTTGGCTTTCTACCCCAATAAGTCAAACATTTCTAAATCCTGATTAGAATGCAGTATACCGTTCAATAGAGCAAAGCAAGCTCTATAAGATGGTGTGTATGTGCTCACACCAGCTTCAGTACATCACAAATTAGATGCTAAAATCCGAGAAGTATTGGACGAAAAATTGAAATTTTTTAATATCTTTGTTCAGAGAAGACTTGTCAGATCTTAAACTCGCTCACGCCTATACACTCCACATAAGACATTCATACATGCCTTTGCTGTGTTTGTTCGTGTGCTAGAAACCGAGAAAAGTGAATTTCTCAGGCTCTCAAAAAAGTGATGCTGCGCTGTTCTCACACAGATAGGTGTATACTACAGGCCTTTAGAAATACATCGGTAAATTTTCAGCTTCCTGGAGTTGCTAGTTCCCGAGAAATATTAAGTTTAGCTTATTTTGTTATTGTATTTAATATTGAATTCAATATTTCTCGGGAACTAGCGCTTCCAGGAAGCTGAAAATTTATCGATGTGTTTCTGAAGGCCTGTGGTATACACCTACCTGCGTGAGAACAGCGCAGCATTGCTTTTTTGAGAGCCTGAAAAATTCACTTTTCTCGGTTTCTAGCACAGAAACTAACACAGCAAAGGCATATATGAACGTGAATATATATGAACGTCTTATGTGGAGTGTATATGCGTGAGCGAGTTTAGGATCTGACAAGTCTTCTCTGAAGAAAGATATTAGAAAATTTTAATTTATCGGGCATCCGGGAGTTCTCAGATTTTGGCTTTTAATTTGTGATGTACTAAAGCTGGTGTGAACACATACATGCCATTTTATAGAGCTTGCTTTGCTCTATCGAGTGGTATTCTGCATTTTAATCAGAATTGAGAAACTTATGACTTATTGCGGTAAAAAGCCAAAATTGAAAATTATGAGACAACCTGATACATGCTGGACATAATTACAGAGGCACTCTAGAAATCGTCGTAATTTTCGTTCTTGTCAGTGAATCTGTCTGAAACTTTGCTGTGTGGTGCGCATGTAAGCCTACCATAACTCCTCAGAACGGCTTCCAATCCCGTTGATTTCGAACGGAGAAAAATGGAAAAATTCGAAAAAGCCTGTTTTGCAAGCTGGACATAATTATAAGGACACCTGGCCTTTTTGAACATTATCGCATTCCTTGACTCCCAAATTTTTTTGTAGAGTTACATCCCAGAATATGAAACTTTTGCAGCACCTAGAACCTGTCAGGCTACTCAAGGAAAGATGATCCTTGCATTTTTCGTTTCCATAGGCATCAGAAGTCAAACTGCGTCAACAAACAGCTGGTTTGAGGAGTTTCCAAGCCCGCGTTCATTTCAAATGACAGTCCTGAAATACACTTAGCCTTTTTGATAAATAAGGTAAAGAGCGCTTTCGTAAACTCCGCGTAATCGCTGATATTGACAATCAACTCCAACCCCATCATAAGATTGTCACGCTTTTACACCACAAAACTCACTTTCCAATGTTCGTTAAGTAATGGACTCGATTCATTACATTGTCTACATGGAGATGCATCATTTGCTACAACTTTTAGATTTTTTCTAGTGCTGCAGTTGCCATTTAGATCTGAAATACTTTCAACGAAAATCTATGCGAGCAGTAGATTCAGCATAATCACAAATCTCACTATTTTATTCTCTGTTTCATGTCGCATTTTGCGCGGTAGCTGAGATTAGCAAGATTTTGAAGTTTCAAGCGGTCTCCTGTTCGATTTCTTGATTTGTCTTGGATATGATTGTGCAGGGTGCTCGACTCAACTCTCAACGGATGACAACTGCGGCTGAACTAGAATGTGCAACCTCGAGATTTTTTCCTGACTAGGCACACAAGTTTATTGTTGTACGTGTATTGTTGCGGCTACATCGCAGCGTTTTCTGTAACTTGAAAATCTAGTTTTGTGGTGCAAAAGCGCGACAACCCTATGGTGAGGTTGGAGTCTGATTGTCAATATCAGCGATTACGCGGAGTTTACGAAAGCGCTCTTTACCTTATTTATCAAAAAGGCTAAGTGTATTTCAGGACTGTCATTTGAAATGAACGCGGGCTTGGAAACTCCTCAAACCAGCTGTTTGTTAACGCAGTTTGACTTCTGATGCCTATGGAAACGAAAAATGCAAGGATCATCTTTCTTTGAGTAGCCTGACAGGTCCTAGGTGCTGCAAAAGTTTCATATTCTGGGATGTAACTCTACAAAAAAATTTGGGAGTCAAGGAATGCGATAATATTCAAAAAGGCCAGGTGTCCTTATAATTATGTCCAGCTTGCAAAACAGGCTTTTTCGAATTTTTCCATTTTTCTCCGTTCGAAATCAACGGGATTGGAAGCCGTTCTGAGGAGTTATGGTAGGCTTACATGCGCACCATACAGCAAAGTTTCATACAGATTCACTGACAAGAACGAAAATTACGACGATTTCTAGAATGCCTCTATAATTAAGTCCAGCACTGTATCAGGTTGTCTCATAATTTTCAATTTTGGCTTTTCACCGCAATAAGTCATAAGTTTCTTAATTCTGATTAAA